GGGGAATTCTAGGAGTTGAAATCCACACATCTTCAAGTTGCCATGGTTGAGGAACCCTCTACCATGAAAAGCAGGGAAACACTGAACCTCTTCCCAGCCCCATTGTTCAATAAACCAACTGTACTCACACATTCCTTCTCCCATTTCATTGTCGTCTCTGTCACCATGCCCTGTAAACGAGCTTCTAGTCTACGCTTGTCTGAAACTTGACGCTGCAGCTTTTGACTCTTGCTTTCTAATTCCTGATGCAAGTTGCGTTTCTCTTCTTCATAAATTGCTGTTGTTTTCTCCAGGATGTCAATCTGGTATGAGAGATTGCAATGCAATTCCTATTCTGAAAACTCACCTCCACAAATTTAGCAGAAGGGTTTTTCTCTTTTTTGGCAAAGCAAGATCCTGTATTGTGACTGATACCACAACAATAATGAGCCACTCTCACAAGACAGAAGTAGTTAACCACTGCATGCAAAAAAATGTATTGTCAAATCTGTTGTATAAATTTGGGTATCTTTTTTAGTTTTTAAAATTTGTTAGCACTTGTGGCATTGCACAGAACTGCATGATGCTGCCCACCATCTTAAAAGTTTGCTAACCCCTGGGGTAGCAGAATAACCTCATCTCAGGTCTGCCTCATGTCGAGAAGTTCGCCACCTTATAACCCATCAAAAAATGGAGAACTAGTTCAGCAATCCAAGATCTTCCTTCTGAGCAGAAATATTGACCAAGCAAGACTTCTGCTTTCACAAATGAGTGCATATACTTAAACATCAGACAGTAAATAGAAACCTTATATTCCAGAGTTTTTGCTTTCTTCTCTAGCCGCTCAATCTCAGTTTTTTGTCCTGTTATGATTTTGTCTCTTTCAGCTATTTTCACTTGTGCAAAGTTCTCTTTGGATACAACATTGGCATCAAGTTCTTGCAACATGTTCTTTACATATAGGACTAGAACAGAAAAAGAAGATATTGTAGTCCTTTTGATAAGCCATATTTACCGGAGAAGACTGGACCCCTTTTGTTGCCCCCAGATTTACAACAGTCATAACATGGAAATTCCAGGTAGAGGATCTTGGAGACACACAAATTCTAAGAGCTTTTTGTGGAAGACTTACCCCCTCCTCCTGATTATTTTTCAGGCAACAAAATGCATCCGCTGTGTATTCGCTGCCTTCAGTAAGCAGTCGCTCAGTTCTTTCCCTCCCATGAAGAATCCCACAAGCTATTCACTTATTGCCAGGATGAGACAAGCTGGTGTCAAGTACTCACCATTTTTGGCAAACTCTTCTGACAGCTTTTGCCGGATGTGGTGCCGTTTTTCAAGCACTTCAATCAGCCGAGGCAGGGTCTGATCGTCATTGATGTCCAGAAGTTCACAGGAAGGCACTGGAGGGAAGCTCTGCAGGAGCAGCTCTCTAGCCAAGGGGCCTCTGTCTAGACAATCAAAACAGGCCACTTAGCTGCGTGGCAATCCACAGAGCTCAGACTCTGCAAGGCTAGCAAAGGTGGAAGGGTTAACCAAGACAAATGCTAGGAGGAGAAATTTCTATTGCTCTCAGTCTCAGGTGGTCTAACCAACCTATCAAGATTTACCTCCATCAACTGGTCCACCTCGGATTTCCAGTTGCCGGGAGAGCTCCTCTCTGAAAGCCTGGTTCTTGAATCGCCGACCAGGAGTTAGTCCACACAGAGGCTTGTCAGCAGGTCTTGCAACTTCCACTTCTTGGGTGATTTCTGCAAATCGCATGACTTGCTACCAAAGGATAAAAAGAGTATTAGGAGAGTGGAAGTCCCAGCATTTAGAAAACAATTAAACAGTAGTAATAGTTTGGATCAAGCGTTCAATAAAATCACATAGGCCTTGGCTTTTGGCTGCTGCTAAATGCCAGGTCAGATTGTAATAAGGCCTAATCACAGATGAGAGGGCTGACCTGGTGTGTATTACCAAGACCTGGCTGGATCCAGAGTGGGGGGAGTCCCCTCTTGGAAATATGCCCAGATGGGTTTTGGGTGTGGCAGGGAAGGGGGTGTGGCAGGGAAGGGGGTCTGGCAGCTGTCATCCAGGAGTCTCTTACAGCTTTCAGGGACGCTGCTCCACAGGTTGCCAGATGTGAGACCCTGTTCCTTAAGTTGGGATCTAGGGGTCAGTTGGGACCGTTGGTCTTGTACCAGCCTCCCTGCTGCATAGCAACCTCCCTGTTTGAGTTCCTCAACTCCATCTCGGGGTTGGCAGTGGAATTCCCCAGGCTTATGGTCCTTATGGGGGCAGTGTGTCCATCCTGGCTCTACTTCTACCTCTCGGTTTTCGGTACCATCAACCATGGTATCCTTCTGGATCAGCTCTGGGGGATGGGAATGGGCAGCACAGTATTGTGCTAGTTCTGTTCCTTCCTAAGGGGCTGATACCAGTCCATGTTGATTGGGAGTGAGAGTCTTGCTCTCAGCCCCTATTATGTGGGGTTCCTCTCCACTCCTGTCTAACATCTACATGAAACCCCTGGGGGAGATCATCTGCTACCATGGGGTGAGGTCAATTATCTCTCTCCATCCCTGGCAAACTACACAATGCTGGGTATGTCCTGTCCCAGTGCCCGGAGGCTGTGAGGGCCTGGATGGGAAACAAGAGGCTTCAACTGAACCCTGGCAAAACTGACTCGCTCTGGGTTTTAGAGCCTTCCGAACTTGGGACTTTACTACGTTTGGTACTGGATGGGGTGGTACTGCCCCAAACAGGCCTGGTGTGCAATCTGGGGGGTCCTTCTGGACTCACAAATCCTGTTCAACGAGCAAGTGGCAGCTGTAGTTAGGAGGGCCTTTGCACAGCTTCGTGTTGTATGCCAGCTGTGCCCCTTCATGGACCATGAGGCTCTACTCGCTGTCATTCATGCCCTGACAATCTCCAGAGTGGATTACTGTAATGCACTGTACACAGGGCTGCCCTTGAAGAGCATCCGGAAGCTTCAGCTGGTGCAGAATGCGGCTGCGCGGACAGTTATGTGTGCCTCTAGGATGGCACACGTTACACTTCTGTTCCATGAACTGCATTGGCTGCCGGTTAGCTTCCAGATCCAATTCCAGGTGCTGGTTTTGACCTTTAAAGCCCTACACGGCATGGGGCCTGGTTACCTGAGGGACCACCTCCCTTCAATTACATCTATCCGCCCATTCAGGTTGGGCAGGAAGAGCATACTGCAGGTCCCGTCTGCAATGGAGTTCCATCTGATGGGACTTAGGAGATGAATCATTCCTGCCGTGTCACCCGCCCTCTGGAACATCATCCCTCCTGAAGTGAGGTTGGCACCAACCCTTGTGACATTCTGGAGAGTTCTCAAAACCTGGTTTTTCCAACAAGCCTGGGGATCCCCTGGTGAGAGGGAGCCTCCCCACTGGCTTTATTATACAGTGGAACCTCGGTTTACGAACTTAATTCATTCCGTGACTCTGGCCGCAACCCGAAGGAAATTTCCCCATAAGGTTCAATGTAATTACCGTTAATCCATTCTGGCG